AGACAAATTGTGCACTCTGTGAATCCTCGTCCTTGCCGGCAGCGCGAGGCGGAGCATGGAGCCGCAGTACCACTTTCCTCCAGCACCGTTTCCGTGCATTTTCGAGTGGAGAAAGCAGTACGCTACCACAGCTGCGAGCCCGTTCTTCTCACACTGGGCAAGGACGAGGATTCACAGAGTGCACAATTTGTCTTTCAGGCCATTCCTTACCGGATGCCTGCATGTTCAACATCCCCAGCTACAATGGGGCTTTTAGCAACTCAAGCCATTATTGGCTGGCAAGTAGAGTTCAGAACGAGTATGCATTCTATAGCCGCCAATCACTTAATACTGATTTATAATTATGCTGCTGATTTGCCTATTATCTCTCGCATTTCCAAAATCACACCCAATTCAAAAAGATTGTATGAATTTGATGAATCGAAGGGAAGTTTGCAAATCAGCAGCATAATTATAAATCAGTATTAAGTGATTGGCGGCTATAGAATGCATACTCGTTCTGAACTCTACTTGCCAGCCAATAATGGCTTGAGTTGCTAAAAGCCCCATTGTAGCTGGGGATGTTGAACATGCAGGCATCCGAGTAAGGAATGGCCCGAAAATTGTGCACTCTGTGGATGCTCGTCCTTGCCCAGTGTGAGGAGAACTCGCAGCTGCGGTAGCGTACCGCTTTCTCCGCTCAAAAATGCACGGAAACGGTGCTGGAGGAAAGTGGTACTGCGGCTCCATGCTCCGTCTCGCGCTTCCGGCAAGACGCTAGCAATAGCCACACACGGTACTTGTCTGTGCCATCACTTCTGATTGTCCTCTACTGCTGAGTGTGTGTTCCGTTGCGGGCCTTGGCATCGACGCAAGTGCTGCGCCCCTAGAATGGCGCGGCACGGGGTTGACACCGGGGTGCCACTATCCTACAGACCCCTTGCCTGGCTTTTGAGCGGGAAAAATGGTACACTACTGCTGCGGTCCCACACGCAACATAGTTTTTTCTTAAAGACGGACCATACCCAGGCAGCTCGTAGGATTCCTTTCGTGTTCGAGTGGTCTGGCCAGCGAGATTGTCGCTCTCCCGCACTCTTCAACAAGGGTGACGAGGGCGCTGCGAGCGTCAAACGTTTAAGCTATATACGGTACCGTCAAGGCGCCTTGCCTATGTGTCGTAGACGAGTATATTAGCGGTCGTGCCTTCAAGAACAGGTGCGACCCCTAATTTCATTCATTCCGTGTAGTGCCAACCTGAGGGTTTCCTGGCATGAAATCAGCAGTTCCGGATGACTCGTTCACTCACCAGGATCGCTTTGCATTTACGGCATTTTTTTCTTCACAGTGAAACCACTCGAAAATCGTGTATCCTCAACCTAGCAGCCCCACGCGTCTACATGGAGAATTTCCTAGTACTAACTTAATTGTGATCTTTCATTTCACTCTTGCACTTAGAAACGTAGTTGGTCTAAAAGTTAAAGCTCCACTCGTTCTGAAATGTTTCGACTTTTCATGAGCCTCCTTAGAGTAAAGAGCTAACGGACGTGCCTATTGATTTGTCTCGAGCTCCCTTGAAATTGAAAGCTCAACTGTACTTCACTGTTACCTAAAAAGTTTCTCGGTTAAGTCAGTAAAGTAAAGTGGTTCGCTGAGAAAGTTCGACCTCATTTCATTGAACGACAATATTTCAGCTGTTTAAAGTGACACCTCTGCGGAAAATGGCCGTCGGAGGACTTCTCACAGCAACGGCGTTCATCATGGCAGGACTACTACAGGTTAGGAACATTCCACTTGACTGTATCAGTTTCCTTCACTCGCATATTTCCTCCAGGGCTTGGGATTTTTTTGCCATTCCACATTCCTCTGATCAGTGTTATAAATTTTTCAAAAGAAGGAATCATGCGGGCTCAATACATTGCCGTAGAAAGCCACCGATTTGGATTTAGTTCAGTATTGCTATTGTGTTTAGGAACCTTCCTGATGCCGTTGATATCGTCTCAGTCGGTCGGAGCGATTTTAAAAGCATAGATTAAACTGCGGCGTTTTCTTCCACTATTTCGTTCCTGAATCCACCGCTGACTGAGCTCTATGGGAAGGAATTGCAGCCGGGCGGGTTCATTCCTCCCCTCCTGACACCGTCCCAACTGACTGCGACGATTTTGACTATACCTACTGAAAAAACCAATTTTGTCAACGTCCAGTTCACAATTAATTTTGCAAGTTTTATCGTTTTCCAGTTGGAAGTGAACAAAACGATGGAGTCGCCTCCAGCACCTGGTCGCGTCTACCTACAGCGCATCGGGAACGCCAGCCACGTCCACTCATTTCAACGGCTCGGTCACTCTGCATCCTTGATAGGTCGAATTACTGTTGATATTGGCTCTTAGAAACTTCTTAGCATCGAATATTATACTTGTGTAGGGGTTCAACATGAAGATGGGTGAAATGGCGATGTGGGGAAATTTCCTCTTCCACTAGCGCCCCCTATAGTTTCCGCACCCGGTGCAAAAATGTTCCCGCGACCTCCTTTCACGACTTACCTGTATGTATGTCAGTTATAAGAATAGCCTTCTGGCTGTACCATTCAAGGAATGAGGTTTAGGGATGTAAAGCGCGCGAGAAACGGAAGAAATCAACCCAAATTTGTCCTGCGATTCGGCAGAATTTCTTTCAAGGCCTAACAGGGCTCCTTTTTACCGACCAAGTGCGACCTGATGGAACTCTGTCAACGACGACGTGCCCTGTATAGCACTACGTACACAGGGAGACCCTCAGAGGCACTAAAAGCACATGGTTACCGTGTATTTCGCTCGCGGGGAAGCACGTCTGTAAAAGGTCAATTTGAGCAACAATTGTACTTGAAATTTTGTTCGCGTTCACCTGATATGCAGACGTCTTCCTTAAAGGCAGTTGGCACGATAAATCCCCCAAGACGACTAGGATCAATACTCCTGGCAGGATAGAATTCCGCGACCCTGGGCAGGCGCTGCATAGCGGTTTCCCCGAGGAAGGTGCCCTTATAAGGGCCCTATCAAGCCACAACTTTACGTCCCAAACGCCCGCCACGCCCGCCCGCCCACAAATGGACGACCGTTCCTGACGCTCGTATTCATTCATTTGCTAAGCTGAAGCGAAGGGATTGGTATGAAGCGGCCGTGATGCTGCATGCATATATGGGTACACATATGCAGCCGTATCTTCGGTAGCGGTGATTGGCAAGATGCGTACGGGAAACTCGTCCGAAATCGATTTACAAGTCACTGAGAACGGAGGCTTTTTCTTCGCAGGATTTTGACCGTTTCACTCCGTTCTTTCGCCATTTCCCCACTATACAGCGCCCTACTAGCATTTTAGGCTAAGTAGGAAACCATCCAACTGCCTTTAAACAAAGCAAGGATCTAGCATTCCAATGCTCAAGATTAGCGTTGACGACCGGGCGGCAGCGACCCCAACCGGAACCGGACAGAACAAATTCAGCGATGATCAGATGAGGGGATGAGCGCAAAGACCCACAACTGTTGTGCCTTCCTTTGAGGCGTTTCCTCCTCGTTTTCTTATTAGGAACAGGACATGTAAGGCCCTGCACCATCTAACCTCAGAAGCCTGCAGTCCACTCAAACTACTACTATAATTCACACTCCTCGTTTCCTTATTAGGAACAGGACATGTAAGGCCCGCACCATCTAACCTCAGAAGCCTGCAGTCCACTCAAACTACTACTATAATTCACATGTTGTATAACTTTTGCTGTGAAGCGAACAAAGCTGAAAAAATTTTTTGAAGGTGATCTGCCAACAGGAAGAACGGAGATCGATGCAGGATTGTACAGCATTCAGGCTGGAGATCAGGTAGGCGTGTGTTTTCAGTTATTTATCTAGATGCCGAATTGCGGCGCCCATTGATTGCTTGATTACTTTTCAGTTGAAGCAAGCCCAAAAAGGTGAAAAAATTGTAGCTGTAATATAGTGATCATGAATAGGACTTTTAGTTTAGTGCCACAGCTTTTTTCAATCAAATTCACCATGAACCTGCACATAAGTGGCATTTACACTTCAGCGTGATAGATCAGTCTCCACGAAGTGCCAAAATCCTGCCCAAGGCTGTCAGGAAATCCTGCACATACATTACCAACTAGAATTTTTTCTGATATTTAAGGCTGTAGAAACCTTCTGTGGAGCATTTCCGCCTTTCCCAGCTGCCCCTTCCCTTCTAACATAGCTCTATTACTGGGTGATAATCCGGTTTTCAGAGAAATTCTCAGAATCTGCTTGAAATATAATTTCTATTTTGAGTGTACGGCTTAAATTCAGACTTTTCAAATAAAATTCAAGTGTTGATTAAACTTTCCTCGCTAGGCACAACTGCAGGTCTAGCTGCGATAGCCACGCATACACTTTAGCATGGTAGTGATTTATTTATTGTCATTTCCTAATTTGTGGATCACGGGCGGCTCCTCCCACTTCTTGCAGACTTTGTTGCATTTCAAATTTTCTTATTTTGCTCAACGTCGTCAATTTCAAATCCACACGCGAACCTTCACAGCCAATAAGGGTACTCATAGGCATGCATTCATTGGCTGACACATTATGGGCGCACCGTGGCCACGCCCACTTCTGCGTCTTTTCGCGGATCGTTGACCCTTTTCCAGAATTTTTACATTTTTGGGCTGCTGCGTGAAACCCCGGATACTGAATGAGAAGCCCCGCCCACTCCGTAGGAGATCGCCCATTCTGCGAAATGCCTCATACCAGCTGGATAGTGTCTCAGTTAGTACTTCAGAGTTTCACTCGTCCCGAAGCAAGCCTTGCCCGTTTTTTTTTGTTCCAAAGGTGGCAGCCTCGTCTAGGCTAGGGGATAGGCAGTATCGAGTCTGAGAGTCTGAATACTCGGACAAGCACTAAACCGGTCAGAAGCCTGCAGTCCACTCAAACTACTACTATAATTCACATGTTGTATAACTTTTGCTGTGAAGCGAACAAAGCTGAAAAAATTTTTTGAAGGTGATCTGCCAACAGGAAGAACGGAGATCGATGCAGGATTGTACAGCATTCAGGCTGGAGATCAGGTAGGCGTGTGTTTTCAGTTATTTATCTAGATGCCGAAACATTGCGGCGCATTGATTGCTTGATACTTTTCAGTTGAAGCAACCCAAAAAGGTAAAAATTGTAGCTGTAATATAGTGATCATGAATAGGACTTTTAGTTCAGTGCCACAGCTTTTTTCAATCAAATTCACCATGAACCTGCACATAAGTGGCATTTACACTTCAGCGTGATAGATCAGTCTCCACGAAGTGCCAAAATCCTGCCCAAGGCTGTCAGGAAATCCTGCACATACATTACCAACTAAAATTTTTCTGATATTTGAGGCTGTAGAAGCCTTCTGTGGAGCATTTCCGCCTTTCCCAGCTGCGGAATGCGCCCTTCCCTTCTAACATAGCTCTATTACTGGGTGATAATCCGGTTTTCAGAGAAATTCTCAGAATCTGCTTGAAATATAATTTCTATTTTGAGTGTACGGCTTAAATTCAGACTTTTCAAATAAAATTCAAGTGTTGATTAAACTTTCCTCACTAGGCACAACTGCAGGTCCAGCTGCGATAGCCACGCATACACTTTAGCATGGTAGTGATTTATTTATTTGTCATTTCCTAATTTGTGGATCACGGGCGGCTCCTCCCACTTTTTGCAGACTTTGTTGCATTTCAAATTTTCTTATTTTGTTCAACGTCGTCAATTTCAAATCCACGCGGCGAACCTTGACACAATAAGGGTACTCATAGGCATGCATTCATTGGCTGACACATTATGGTCGCACCGTGGCCACGCCCACTTCTGCGTCTTTTCGCGGATCGTTGACCCTTTTCCAGAATTTTTACATTTTTGGGCTGCTGCGTGAAACCCCGGATACTGAATGAGAAGCCCCGCCCACTCCGTAGGAGCCCGCCCATTCTGCGAAATGCCTCATACCAGCTGGATAGAGTCTCAATTAGTACTTCAGAGTTTCACTCGTCCCGAAGCAAGCCTTGCCCGTTTTTTTTTGTTCCAAGTGCACGGCCTCTCTAGGCTAGGCGGATAGCAGTATCGAGTTCTGAGAGTCTGAATACTCGGACAAGCAGATTTTTGGTCAAAATAAAAAAGATATCAATCAAATTATTGTCTGAATTTCGGAAAACGGGGCAGCAAAAGATGAGCACTGCCCTTATCTTCTACAAACAGTTTCACACATAAGGTTAACAGTGCTGCTCTTAAAGGCACGGTCCGCGACCGGGTGTAGAAGCCGGAAATATGGCGTCGGGAATGTGGTCCGCGACGAACAACCTTGTACCAGTTTTGCGGCAAAAATTGTAAGGGAGGGGCGCTATAGCGCAATATAGGTTCAGTGACGCCTCCTTTTTCCAGTGACTCCGCCTCCAGACTCCGCCTTCAAGGCCCGCCTTTCAGTGAAAAAGAAGCTGCAGGACGAAAAAGCATAAAAATTACACTTGTGCGGTCGTAGAGTTCTTATTGGGGATCTGCTGGGCGGGTGAGGGTGTAGTGCTGGAGATGTTGTCAATTGGGTCAGACAAACGGGATCGGAATGGGGTTCTATATCGGGCAATTGGCATGTTGTTCCGTATTTTTCTTCACTATGGAGTTACTCAGAACCTCGTGAGAAATCTACGTGCGAACTCTAATCCACTTCTCTGATTGCTTTAATCGCGGGCTTTGCCTTTGACTTCCTTAGTTGACCTACTACTACTACTACCCTACTCGAATGAAGGAATAGATGAAATGTTGTATTGACTATAAGTTTCTAGCGTCACCTTTTATTCACAGCACCAGTTTAGGTGCACACTGTGAATCTAACTACCCCTGGAAAAGGATATGTGATGGGCTTGTACGACAACAACGACAGCAGGTAAACCTGGGCGGAATTTACCTAAGTTGAAAAACCGGCTGGTCAAGGAAAACCCTTGGTTTTCAGCTCGCAAATCAGTACATTCATGTACGCCATCGAGAAGACTGACAACGGCGCTTCACGTCTTTATTTCGTTGTGCCCGAAGGAGACGCCGGACAAGTTTTCGTCGTCGATCATAAGTACGGATTGATTTGTGGTTCTTCCTCTGAGAATACAACACTCTTCATCTTTGAAGGAACAATGTGGTTTCGTCGCAAAACCTGACTTCTGGCAATTTCCTCGACATCCGACCGCGTTTCTTCGACAAGGGCGAATATTTGCTCTACTACGGCAAGGACTGCTATGCTACTTCGTGTCCCAAGAAGATTCCGTTTGCAGTAAGTAAAATCACTTATTTAGGTTTCGTTTCTGAGGCCAGATACCTTTTTTTAGGAAAAACGAAACAGTGTAGGTTTTTTGCTCTGCAGAAGCTGGGGGTGTCAGGATGCAGGTGTCGAACCAAGTTCAACTCCCCTGACTTGCTCCAATTTATGCCGCGATTGCTCATTCGCTTTTGCGCAGGCTATCTTATAAACCTGTATATTTCAAATGCATTTTCCGTAATTACGGGTTAGATACCATCCAGGATACCATCCGTATAGGTGCTTCTGCTCATGCACCCATCACTTTTCTTGTTGATCTGTTCGCCACTCAGAACTACGTAGTAGTACATGTAACTCGAGATCGACCACGCCTCCTTCAGTCTAGCCCCACCCATTTTATATAAATATCCATCATTACGTGGGCAGGAGGTGGTGTAGTGACAAGTGGCGCGCTCACCACTCGCGCGGTCCTGGGTTCAAATCCCGGGTCGACTCCCGCCCAGGCCAACCAAGCCTTCTACCCTCCGGGGACGGTAAATTGGTACCAGATTCGTCTGGGAGGATAAAACACTGACTTGTACATCGGCTGGCCCCCGCAAGTCATTGTATAGGCCACATCGCATTCAATAAGCCACTACGATTCTGAATGGAAAATGCGTGCCGCATCCCACAGAGGGCTGATCAACGGCGAAGACTATCTTCATCCATCATTGCACGTGAGCCCACTTCAGGTACACGGTGACCCCAGTTCGACCCACTCCCAGATTCCCTTGTCCTGTGCGACTAGAGGGGTGGGAGGGAGAGGGAGACCTGGTTTATCAGGTGTCAGCGCAGAGTATCCTCCACATGATTTACCAAATGATTGTCTAATGCTAGAAATCCCTCATTCAGGGAATTTCGATGTGTTTTTTTCTTTTGCCGCTACGATCCCACTGGGAGTAGATTGAGTGGCACATCCCCGATTGATAGAGTCCTTATTCACTACCCTTGTGCTTTTAAGATAAAAGCCTTACTTCCTCATTTTATTTGTTACTTCTGTTTTAGGCCGCAATGGGATCGGTGAGGGTTTTGCACATACACGACAACACCATGGAAAGCGACTATCATGAACTGGTTCGTAACAGTAGTGCGTTTAGTCACCGAAACTCTTGAAACGGTATTTTAGGTGCGTCCAAACACAGTGTCGATCATGTGGGTACTACCCCAGTACTTTGTCATCACTCTTGGCGAGGTCTTGCTTTCCGTGACTGGTCTCGAATTTGCCTATTCTCAATCAGCACCTAACATGAAGAGTGTCCTGCAGGTACTCCCAACTTCAATTACCGCGAACTTAGTATTCTCTACCCGCAGACACATCCTATACCTCCTTGCTTCAGGCACTTTGGCTTCTTACTGTGTTCATGGGCAACGTGATTGACATGGGCATCAGTGGGACGCACATCATACCCGAACCCGCTGCCGAATTCTTTTTCTACGCTTTTCTTATGATACTCACAATGGGGATTTTCATTTTGCTAGGTGAGTAAAATAAAGCAGGATACCGTTTGCGGCTAGTAAATGACTGCATTTTCAGCAATTCGATATACCTATGTGGAGAACGCGGAAGAAGCGCAACCGATGCAAGTCAAGGAACGTGTCATTTCCGAAGATACCACTTGCTAACCTTTCAGTAACCCCTGCCGACTCATCCGCGCAGCTTTACTCCTCAGTTGTAATTTGTTTCACATGTGATCATTACCGTTATGGAGAAATCCAATGCAAGCGGTATGTGAGAGAGAGAGTTCCCGAGCAGGTTGGGGAACAGCGGGATTTGAAGAGGCAGCCGTTGGAGTGGTCGTAATTGAAAGTAGATCATGCCTAGTCGTTCTACTATTGCTAGCTGCTTGCTATCACATTTTACAGTCCCCCAGACTCAACGATCTCATCTGAGACGCACTCACAGTCACAGTTCGCCATCATTAATTGTTGCAAGTTGTAACTATAGTTGTTGATATACACAAATGTACATAAATATTCTTATATCACTTCGTTTGACCGATCATGCGGTCACAGGCATCACATATAAACAGCTAATTTCTTTGGATGAGGGTAGATTGCAAATTATCAGGTATTCAACAGTCTTCGGACATTTGAAGCCTAAAATATATCACTGCACGAAAATGAAACAAGTACAGCTACTCATTCAGGATATGCTTCATTATTATGATCCATCGGTTGTATTGAAGCTTTATAAAGCATACGTCGTCCCATACTTGATATGGCTCGCAGATATGGAACCCTCATACCACAGAATTTCAGGCAAAAGTTGAGTGGTCCAACAAACCTCCACAGGGTTTTAATGTACTGATGTCATCTCAATCCGACATACCCGCGTAGTCTACCTAGCTACAAGGAGCGCTTGAAGCTTTTCAACCTTAAGTTGCTGAAAGGAGAGTTAAGATTGTCGCCCAGTAAGTATTGGATATTTAGACCAAGCAGGGGCCGCATTCTTTGCTGACCTTACAATGCCCTAAGTTAAGCAGGACCCAGCGATCCAAGGTTTTTGATTCACTTTTTTTTCCGTGGAGCAAGATGGCTTCAGTCGCTGCCATCAGAGTTGCAGAAGGCGCCAAATACCTCAGTTTTCAAGAGGAGACTCAAGGAAGTTGACATACTGACTATGGTGGGCATTCAGGATTTTTAAAAGTTTAGGGTCTGGAGGGTCCCCGGCTTGTGAGTATTTTTGTTGCCAATTTGTTGTGTTCTCGTTGCTTTTCCTTTGTATTGCTTTGTTTTGTGACCCAAGTTCGCTCCTATTGTAGCGCACCTGTGCGTGCATATAAATAAATAAATAAGTAATCGACGATCTTTTGCCGAAGGAGTAGATCGTAGTATCCTCCAAAACATGGTTGGCTAGGCTTTACAAATGGCGTTGCAGGTGCGAGAACAGGTGGTAGTCAAGGGTGCAAGGTCTGAAGAGTATGGTGGATGAGGAACGAGCCAGCCATAACCGCTAGTTCACACTTCGTCACCTTTGCAATGTGTGATCTGGCGTTGTCATGCTAAAAGTACACTTTGTCTTGCTTTCCCCAGTGTTCGTGAGGTGAGCCGTCAGATTTGGTAGCTGAGCAACGTAGATGTCAGCAGTCTTCGTTGTACCTTCTTTTGGAAGCTCCTAGTATTGTACTCCACAAACACTCCACCAGATGCATAGCATCACTTTCTTTCCGTGCAGGTCAGGTTTTGGGACGTCTTCTGCTTGTCCTACTTTGTCTACCCACTGGGCACGGGTGCGGATGTTGGAGTCCCGCTTTTCATCTCCAGTGATTATGCTGAGCAGCCACGAGGGCGTGCATTCGATGGAAGAGGAAGTGTTGTGTCGATCCTCCGATCCATGCCCCTCGGTGATAATGCACGTGGTAGTGATCGGCCATAATTTGGAACCTTTCTTATTGAATTCAATCCACGGACCAGTCGCTTGGCTAACGCCAAGCTCGGCGGACAGCCCACGAGCGGTCCGGTATAGGTCCGCCTCCACCTGCTCCCATAGTACGTGCAAAACCAGGACTGCTGGCCGCTCTGTCCTTTCCATTATCTTCGATAAAACAGTCGCCACTCCTGAACTTGGTGAACCAGGAGTAGACGGTGTTGCAAGCGAGAGCATGCTCCTCATAAACATCCTGCAGGCGAAGGTGGGACTCGTTAGGAATAAAATTAGAAGAGGAACAACATGACGTTGCGGTGTTCAGGAAGCGTGAACTCAGACAGTACATTAGAACCACTAGGTTAAGGCAAACGTTCAAAATGGTTCCGTAGACAGTTCTTTTCTCGTCGTATAGCTCTTCAAACTGCCCAGGAGGTCTGAAAACTGGCGGGATAAACCTTTCTGAATGAGGACACACACAAAGTCCGAGGACTTTCGAATCAACCCAATAGATGGCACATGGTTTTGGATAATATGTAAACCAGGGCACATCGTTGTTGGGAGAATCCCCAACAGGGGGGTCGTATTTGGGCTGAGAAAAATTTATTTTGATAGTTGATTTTTCTCGCTTCACGGACGTTGTAAAAGGGGGGGGGGGTCGTACTTGCTCATTGTTGGGAGGGGGGAGTCGTATTTACTTCCTGGCCTTTCTGGGAGTGCTGGTTATTTTTTCGTGATTTTCCTGTTTCTTCTATATACCACCGCCCGCCCCCCCCCCCGCTCGACAGCAAAATTTTTGGGAAAAAAGTAGGGAAGTTTTCGGGAACTCTGGAAAAAGTAAGAGAAAGTTTGGGAAAATCTGAGAATTGGTAGAAGGGGACTCGGTCTGCCTCACGCTTTTCCTGTTTCACATGTGCTCTTTACCCCTCCCCCCCCCCTCCCCCGCCTCCCATTCGGCGGCTCGATTCGACAAGGAGGGCTAGGGCGCCAAAGGAGGGGCGGGGTCGTACGGACTCGACTAAAATCCCCAATCAATGACGTGCCCTGGTATAAACTATCTTGACAAGTTCAAATTCTTCAAATTCTTTTAACTTTACTTGACATTGCCTAGTCGTTCAGCAGAAACTGTGCGATAGTTGATTTAGACCTATTCACCTTGTGCGGCGAAACAGCAGCTTCTTGTCCATTCGTTGGAAGGAAGCACGTGTGTTATCCTGCTCATTGAAACAGGGCACGCCATTGCGTTGTGATCATTTCCTGAAAAATACGACCCCCCCCCTAATTCCATCTTCAAGTACGACCCCCCTCCCCATGTTACCTCTTCCCTAGATTTTTCCAACCTCCTACCACTTTGTCTATTTTTTCCCAAAAATTTCTGGTTTTTTTTACAAAATTTTGCTGTCGAGCGGGGGGGGGGGGTCGCAGTACCTACGTACGTCCCAAGCACGTCCAGCACTCTGGCGCTGGTGTAGCATACTGACAATACGTACGAGGAAGGGGCGATGATAGGAGCTACGATCACCGCCCACAAGGGCACCATGAATTTATAAACAATGGAAAGGACTTACGACTGACGATAAACAGACGAAAGTACATTCCCGGACTTTTCTGATTGCAGGAGCACATTTGCTTGCAATTGGGAAGCCCTATCTAGAAGTTACACCTTCCAAACACCTGCGTGAAAGCCCCATGCATGGCGCATTGCAGAGGTGATGCCAATTGGCGCCCAATGGCCTATTTCCTGATACCCTTTGCGAAAACATGTGTTTTAGAAGCATACCAAAGTCTTCAAGCCAACTGGAGGTTTCATGGCCTCGGAGGGGCTGATTTTTCGTGTCGTGGGGGGTGGTCACGAAATGATCACAACGGGGAATTTTTTCGAATAGCAGGCCTAGGAAGAAAATTAAAGCCTTGCTGGAAAGTAGAAATCTTCAAGCTTCCGGCACAATTCTTTTTTTTACGAAAGGCCGTGTATGAAGCTTGCCATGGACGTCCAAAGCGTAGCGACTCAAAAAACCCTCGCAAAATGTTCGCAAAAATGATCACAGACGGATCACAACGATGATCACAACGGGGAAAATCTCTGGAATCGGAACGTTTTTGAAATCGCTCAATTCAGGACAAGAGCCAACCTAGCTCTACTCATTCCCACTTACCCCTCTCCGATAGCTTCACTTTCAACGAAGTTATGGGTGTTCAAATGAGGGGTACTTTTCACGTGTTTGGCTTGAAATTGGCTCCAAAATAGCGCGCACCAATGAGCTTGTATGAGCGCGCTGACCGCGAACAGCCAAAATTCAAAAGTAATCCATAGTTCCGGTTCCCAGCTGCCTGGTGAGTTTTTTTTCTTATCCATTTGATTGTGAATTATTTTGATTGTTTGTTTTTGTTGAGTTTGATTTTGTTTTGTTGAGTTTGATTTTGTTGTGAGGAAATTGCTCAGGATTCAATTTCTACGGTTTCATAGGTAGCTTTTGCAATGGATTCTTTTCTAGATTTTGCGGATTAGTGGATTGGGATTTATCTAGACCAGATGAGGAGGGTTGGTGGGCGAAGTGTCTTGAAGTTTTTTGTGAGGAAGGAGGAAAAAGTTTCAGCAATATTTTTTTAGTTCTTGGCCTAGGAATAGTTCGATAGTGCCTAGTTCTATTTATTGTCATCTACATCGTCCCTTTTGAGCTTCTTTTCACTTGTACCGTGTATCACCGCTCTCTCCACTTCAACATGGGCCATGCGTTTACGACCCCCTCCATCGCGGGCAAATACGACCCCCCCCCGTTGTGATGATCACAAAGATGGCGTGCCCTGCATTGAAACCAGTCGTCATCCGGGCAGCTGATTAGGCGGCCAAGGTGTCGCGACGCGGCTGCGGCTCGTCACGACCGCGGCGATCAGCTGTTTCCAGCCTGGTTTAGCCATTTTCTCCCTAATTTTCACTGTATTTTCTATTTTTTCAAGGTGATTTGTGTTATTGCCTTTATGAAGTGTATTAGGACGTCGATTCTTTTTTTTTCGTAATGAAGTGTTTTTTTGGTATTTCTGATTGTTTGTTTAACTGTACGCAAAAATTGGAGGAATTCCAATCATAATTTACCTTGAACTAACCCTCAAGAAGAGCAGCCAAAACACTGAAAACTAGGGAGAAAACGGCTGAACCAGGCTGGAAACAGCTGATCGACGCGGTCGTGACGCGTCGCAGCCGCGTTGCGACCCTTTTGCTGCCTGATAAAGTGCCCGGATGATGACTGCATGTTGGTAG